TAAGTGCTATTGCTATTGTGTCAAGCCAATCCTGAAGGCTGCAAACAGGGGTATTGATACGAGTTCAACACTATCAAAATGGTAGGAGTCCCACTTTTTAAACATGTGTTGCACACACTATAAAGGTTTTCCCTGTCCAGCCTATTTGACTCTAGGGTGTGGCCGAGGGAGCCAGCGTTGTTTGAAGACACTTCTGTGGTCATGTGGCCAGCATGACTATACACCGAGATGCACGGAACACTGTTACCGCCCCACCAAAGTGATACCTATTTATCTACACGCATTTGCATGCTTTCGAACTGCTGGATTGACAGGACCTGGGACAGGGGTAGGCAATCTCGGCTCTTTTATGACTCATGGACTTCAACTCCCAGAATTCCTGAGTCAGCTATGCTGAATTCTGGGAGTTGAAGTCCATGAGTCTTAAAAGAGCCGAGGTTGCCTACCCCTGACCTGGGGCAAGTAACGGGAGCTCACCCCATCACATGGCACTCAGTCTTGAACTCAGGCTGTCAGCTTTCCAGCTGATAAGTTCAGTGTCTCTAACCACTGAACCATTGTGCCCCCTTTTTACCCACTATATGCATATAAAAAGGGGCAGGACTTTAATTACCTGGCCTATCTGCCCTTTTGCTATTGTTGATCCTCCCGTGGACACCCACATTGCAAATATTGGGTTGTATATTAATAAGCATTTTGGAGCGATGCGGATCAAGTGTTCAGATCTGACTTTCATTTGCCACTGATAAAGACCCCAATTTGTTTTATTTAAAACTTAAGTAAAATTTCTAAAATAAACCCAACATTTACCTAAGCCTGGATCAACATTACTAAAAGTTATTATAAACCAGTTCAAATACAAACCTTTCGGCTCTCCTCCACCTTTAGGAGAAAGATTTGTCCAAAAGATACTATGATTAATGTGACCTCCCCCATTGAACTTCAAAGCCGGCTGAAGAGATACCTGGGCCGTTACATCCCCTGAAGATGGAAAGAACAGAGAAAAAGCAGAACTACTAAGGCCTAACACAAAACATCTTATGCAAGTTCCTTCCAGTATTCAAGTACTGTCATACACATCCTAGTTAAAACATTCAGTTCAGCAAAATCTCTAAAACGTTAGGAACTTAACCTGGCTCCCTTTAGCTCTGGGTTCCAATGCTCCAAATCCATGCCTCCTCATATCAGTTTCAAGGAATTGTAGTGGCTGCCTCCTGACCCCCATTTGAATTAGGGACAGGCAAAACAAAACTTGCTTTCCCAGCCTTTTTTTTCTTTAATGTTTCATTAATTAGAAATGAAAATGGAAATAATGCTGAGAAGGAAAAAGTATTATGCTGAAAGTTTCTTTGATAAAAAAAGAATCATCAGACTAATCAAATTTTATTCTGATGAAACACAAAATGCAACTTGAAATACATTGGATGCAAATATAAACTAGCTTTATGCAAATTGATTTTTATTTTCTGTTTCATGCAGTTTGAATAAGATTCTTGATTCATCTCTAGACCGCACACCAAGAATAATGCTTGGCTAGATCCTATGAATAAATATTGTAGATAACTATATTTATTTTTCTTGGAACCATCAACTAAAAGCATTCCTGTTCCAGTTTAATTATTAAACTCTTAGGGACTATATTTTTTCCTCCTTATTCTATCTGTAAAGCTTTTGGGAGCAATTGTTGAGAAACATCATACATAGTCCTCATGAAGTAGTATGCTGGTATCCTAGAAACAAACTTATAAACTTAGGTTATTTTCCAAATAGCTAGGATTGAGAGTTACTATATATTCAATAAACCAGGGGTCCCCAACCTATGGTCCTCAGCCTGGTATTGGACCGTGGCCTCTTGGCTAGTGGGCCCCGGAAATAGCTGGTGAGCCCCCCAACTCACAGTAGCACCGCTGTGTGGCTGCTAGCAGCCCCATTTGCGCATGCGCGGGGATGCTAGCACCGCCACCAGCGTCATGCAGGCACCAGTGGCCCGCTTGTGCACACGGGGTCTCGTGCACACACATTTCGCTGCTGCTCCCTTTCCTTCCAGGCTGCCAAGCCAGAAAGCTTGGGGAGCTCTGCAATAAACCATTCACAACAAATACTTTTGAAAATGTAATAAACCAAATAACATAGACTACAACCCAAAAATAGCTCTATCAACACAATCTTCAATAACATGAAGGCAATCATATATATGTTTAGCTAACTCCACTGATATGACTATATTAGTTTGCAACCTGATGACGGTGGAAGACACAAACAACAAATGGCCTCTTCTGCTTACTTGTGCTAGTCAGCCAAGGGGACAACAAATTACAACTGTGATTTCCTCATAATCCAAATGTATCAACTGCTAATTGATATGACACAATGCCTTCTTTTTAACAGATTCATTCTGCATTACAAATCCTTAGTTTCATTATTGTTTATCTCAGTAGTTTAAACTCAAATTTGACATGTGGATCCTGGACTCTACAATGGCCCCCGCAGCACTCCAGTTGGGTAAGAGAAGAAGGAACACAATTACTGCATTTATATCCCATGTTTTCATCTAAGAATTCAAGGGAGTTTGTGTGGGAGATCTCCACCCATTTCATCCCTACAACAAAATTGTGAAATGGCTTTAGACTAAAAGGCAAACTTTAAGCTCAATGTTTGAGTGGTAATCTAAACCTGGAATCTCCCAAGATTAAATATAATTTTATTCACCACATTCACTAGCTCTCTGAGTCACTGACAACCCAAAGAAGATGGCTTTTATCCTGAATAATTATTATTCTTAGCACAGGAGAAACAAATGTACATAGAACAGTCATAAAGAGTCAGTTTTAGCAGGAATCAAATCAGAAAGCTTTACAATGATATATTATTCCCAATACCTTTTGTCAAAGCCTCTTTGTATTTTTCTTCAGCAATATTCAGATTATTTACATATGCAGCATGATGTTTGCTGTGGTGAAGCTGCATAATTTCTGCATTAATATGTGGTTGCAAAGCACCATAATCGTAGGGCAAGTCAGGGAGAGTGTGTTTTTTTCTGGAGGCCAGACAACCAAGAGATGTAATCAGCACAGTGTTATTTCTGGAAGACAACAAATAAATTATATAATAAAAATGCTTTGATTTTCACTTTATAGGATTTTTCTTGCTGTCACTTAATACAGTTAGCTGTTAAAATTGTCATCATCATCAGCTATTACTTATTGCCAAAACTACCCATATCATCATTACTTGCATTTACCTGTGAATTGAAGAAAAACAAAACCTACCCCAGGACAATGACAGAGATACAGGGATCAGTCTAAGTATGGTTTATGTTAATATCACACAATTAATTTGTTTGATCGTTTTACACTCAGATCTGAGAGAGAGATGAGGTATGGGAATGAGGTAACTGTTCTCTGAAAGTATAACAATAGCATTAAATTCAACAAGCAAAAACTGATCTCCAAGCTAGCCTCCAAGGGTTCCCACCCTCTTGCAGCAATATCCACAGCCATTTGTAGATATCAGCTCCAGTAGTTTCTTATTTACAGGTAGTCCTCGATTTAAGACTTACAATCAAACACAAAATTTCCATTGCAAAGAGAGAGTTAAGTGCGTTTTGTCCCACGTTACGACTTTTCTTGCCACGGTTGTGAAGAGAATCATTGCAGTTGTTAAGTCAGTAACATGGTTATTAAGTGAATCTGGCTTCCCCACTGCTTGTCAAGGTCACAAAAGATGACCCTTGACCCTGGGACACTGCAAGTGTTATAAATACATGCCAGTTGCCACATAATACAAGGATGCTGCAATGATCCTAAGTGTAAAAACCAGTCATAAGTCACTTTTTCCAGCGTTACTGTAATGTCGAATGGTCGCTAAACAAACGTAAGTTGAGGACTACCTGAATTCCTTTGTCTGCAACTGCTTCTTTTGATTTTATCAAGCGTGTAAGACATGCCTTCCTCTCCAAGGAAGATTCCTTCATATCTTCTGCATTCTGATATACACTTCTTTTAAATTGAACTACATCTAGTATTTGTTTTATTCTTTAAATGTCTTTTGCAAATATGGACTGTATTGTGCACATGATGGATTGGGAACACTAAGCACTATCACTTATTACTGCCAAAAATAAAAGTCTGACTTTTATTTTTCATTAAGGTTGATACTGGATTTCTTTCATGCTCCTAGTCAAAACTATGTTTTTTAACCAATAAATAAGGCTCTTGCCATCCCATACCCAGATTCATTTATTCATTCTTTTTCTTTCTTTCAACATTTATACAGCTGCCTATGTTATATCAAACTCTGGGCAGGCCCCAACCAAGACTTAATACAACATCAATAAGAAAACAACATAATATATAATACAAACATTAAAAAGTGGCACCAAAGTTAAGCTATAAAATGCAGTAATTGTTTTTGTTTCTCTTTTGTGGAAGAATATATGTAACATTTACTAATAAATTGTCAAAGAGAAAAGTGCTAGAAAAACTTTGTCAACACAGGGTTACTATACTTGGCCTCCAAATCCAAATTATCATTAGATGACAGCACATGCAAAAAACTCCTTTTAACTCTGCGGGTGGGACTTCCAAAAAGCAAGTATTAAAGAAGAGCATGTTCATGGAAATTGATGTTCAGTGGCACATAACCAAAGGGCACTAACCTATCTATTTGCCAGTTGGCCTGGGGTTCCAATAGGGGCGTTCTAGGCTGGAGGTGAGGTAGAGAGAAGACCCCACCTCCGTGTTGCTTGTCCTCTTGATTTTTAGTTTAATCTTCCTCATTTTAAGTGTTTTGTGCGATCTTTACTTTTTATTTACTCTGTAAGCCGTCAAGAGTTGCCATCCGTAACGGTGAGATGGCTGGCCTTCAAGTTTAATAAATAAACTCCCATTTACAGAGGGAGGAATCAACGACTTGGTCAATGACATGAATTTACCTAACAAGACTAGTGTGCAATAGCCGAAGTCGGTTCCAAAATTATTGGAAAGCATTTCATTATCGGACTGACCGTGCCAGTGGCAAATAACAGTAAGTTGCACAGTTCTTTTAGAGTCCCAGTGTTTCTCAACCTTGACAATTTTAAGGCATGTGGACTTCAACTCCCAGAATTCCACAGCCAGCATTGCTGGCTGTGGAATTCTGGGAGTTGAAGTCCACATGCCTTAAAATGGTCAAGGTGGAGAAACACTGCTTTAGACACAGAATAAAAGTTACATGCAAAAAACGTAACGGGCAGCCTCGTACTTTGCCCAATGCAGACTCTTCCAGTTATACTGGCCTTCAATGGGACGATAAGGGCAAGCCTGCCACTCTAACGAAGGACACTAGCCTGGGTCAGCCGCCTTCGACCGAATCCCAGCGTCCTTCCAGCAGCACTCTTCTCCTCCTCCTCCTCCTCCTCCCAAGCAGGCCGCCTTTTCGTGCCCCTCGCGTCCTGCCATTCCTAATCTCCTGCCTCTAATTATGTCCTTGGACGGGAACTCAAGGGCTTTCAGGCCCCGCCAGGTTCTCACCTGCGGCCGGCCGCAACAGCCAAGCGACAGAGCATGACGGCCGCTTGGTTCGCAAGACAGCAAGGACGGCGCAAAGGAAAAAAAAAAAAAAACGCTCCGCGCGGGGACGACGTCTCGTGCGCGCTACTCTCGGAGAACCGCAAACCCTGCGCTTTCCTTCACTATGGCGCCTGCGCCTGCGCAGCTCCGCCCCTCCCTTCTCTTGGGTGTTCGGCGGAGGGCATCTCATCAGGCCTATAGCGCAGGGGTAGTCAACCTTGGCTCTTTGATGACTCGTGGACTTCAACTCCCAGAATTCCTGAGCCAGTTGTGCTGGCTCAGGAATTCTGGGAGTTGAAGTCCACGAGTCATCAAAGAGCCAAGGTTGACTACCCCTGCTATAGCGGGAGCCGCTAGAGGCGGAAGCGGGATCCTGGATGAAATTGGGGATGGGTGTGGCCGACTTTTTTCTCCTCCACCGACTTGGTTGTTTTTTTTTCCCCAAAAAAATATTTGTTCGGGCATTTATTCATTTTTATTTTACAAATAATAGCCCGTTTGGATGCCTTCTCGTCGCAGATGCATTGGCTCAGTTCAGACAATGCACTGAAGTAAAGGTATACAGCAGGGGTAATCAACCTTGGCTCTTTTATGACTCGTGGACTGGCTCAGGAATTCTGGGAGTTGAAGTCCACGAGTCATCAAAGAGCCAAGGTTGACTACCCCTGGTATACAGTAATTCTAGGCGGCCGATTTTTAGACGGTCATGAAACCACATCGAAGTGTTGCGGGTTTCTTCGCTGCCGTCCAGCAGTCGCTCGCTATTTGCAGCCGGCACTTGCTATCCGTCGTCAAGGCAAAAGGGTTTCTTTGCTTGTGGCGCAACACGCTGTAAACGCAGTTTACCAGGCCCGTGTTTCTAAACCTTGGAAACTTTAGGATATATGGACTTCGGCTTCCAGGATTCCCCAGCCACCAAGCTAGCCTAAGAATTGTGGGAATTGAAGTTTACTTGTCTTAAAGTTATTAAAGTTGAGAAACAGTGTGCTAGGTCTTTTCAGATAACCAGGTGTAGCCTGTTGTGGCAATGCAACTTGTGCTGGAGAAAGTAAAACTTTTCACTCTGTCTGCGCCATTCCTGCTATAACCGAATGGTTTGTGATCTGGCCTAGCATAGCTGACTCAGGAATTCTGGGAGTTGAAGTCTATGAGTCATAAAAGAGCTGAGGTCACCTACCCCTAGCCTAGAGCAGCGGTTCTCAACCTATGGGTCGCGACCCCATTTGGGGTCAATCGACCATTTCATGGGGGTCGCCAAGCAAGGCTGTCCGCCATTTTTTCCCCTTTTCCGGCGGGTGCCTTACGTCCCTTGAGCTGGGCCAGCTGGTGGTCGGCCTGCTCAGTCTCTGCCGCTTGCCAGCTATGCCTCGGCCGGCGCAGGGGGCAGAACCACGCATGTGCGGCGCTCCCGGGCGGGGAAAGTCCTTGACTTACGACCGGTTTAGTCCTCGACTTATGACCGGTTTAGTCCTCGACTTATGACCGGTTGGGGGTCGCGGCATTAAAAAGGTTGAGAACCACTGGCCTAGAGCAAGGCTGTCCAAACTTGGCAACTATAAGCTGGCTGGAGAATTCTGGGAATTGAAGTCCACAAATATAGTTGCCAAATTTGGAGAGCCCTGGACTAGAGCAACCGTACCAGACCCGTGGAATAACTGACTGCTTTCATCCTTGACAAATAATGAGAATGTAGCAAAACTGTCCAGTGTCTAGCGGAACTATTTCATATTACATTAGAAGCTTATTCATATTACCTTTGCTAAGATGTTACTAAAATGCAGCTCACTCCCACCCCACAGAGGTAATAACAGAAATTAGTGTCATGTTTCTACAATAGTGGAAATCAATGCCCATCGTTTTTATTGCAGCACTGATTCATTTGGCAAATAAAAAATTTCATAGTTCTCTAAAGTCCCCCAAACCAGGGAGAAATTTTTATTCTCTCACGATCCAAGCAGATGTGCAGGGATCTGTGTGTGTGTCCATGTGCAATTTTTTTCTAAAAGCATTGATAAGTTTGGTGACTGTATGGCTAGGAGTCCAAAAAAGGCTTGATGGCACCTAATTTAGTCGATCCATCAAGTCCTGCAACATTTGCTTAATACAAAAAGCTAGAGAAGAAGACACAATTCCTTTTTTCCCCTCATTCTCTGGCTAATTGAATTATGGTTACTGAATTAACTCAGCTATCTGGATTTCCAGAGTATATTGAATCATAAATGTCATTTCAAACTAGATAGTTGATTTTAGCATACCACAATGCATTGAGCATCCCAGCAATTATTGTTAGTTCATGGTTTCCAATATAATGTAAAATTGGGTTGAGTAAACTATGGTTATGTTACCTCTCAGAAAATGCACTGTGTGAAGCTGTCCTGTGTCTCTTTTTGATTTTACTTCCTTGGATTCTGTTGGAAGTGCCTAAATCAACAGGATATGTAGTTAAATACGGTAACAAATGAGGACTTTGGTCCTATTTAAAATAATAGGCAACAATCTGAAGTTAAAAGTCAAGCTGACTTGACAGGAAAGCAAGAGCCTTTCAGAGTCTCACCATTTCTGGAGGTAGCTTTTTTGGAGTCCAGAATGACTTTTGGGAGAGTCTAGGCCAGTAAGGTAACTTTTCCTACCAGCATAGTTGCTTCTTTTATACTGGCAATCCCAGCGTACAGGATTGAGCATCAGGCTCAAACCTCCATCTGATCCATTATAGAGAGCATGGCAAACTTTCCACAAGTGCATCAGGGGACTACTAGAGATGACATGAAAACTTCCCCAGCATAGGACCGGTATGCCCATTGTTTCTGTACCTGAGTTGTAGATCCTTTCAGCTGGTCCAGCTCTGCTCCGATCTGTCAACATGGCAAAAATAGCGACTGGCTCAAATTCTTGGCCTTCCCCATTTTTTAGGACTGTAGTGGAGAGAAAATGATTAGTGTGGGGTAAACACAAGGACCAGATCCCTTGGGGTGTGCAGGATGATAATTTAGCACCAGGACGAGGGCCATTGCTTTACGAGGGTCCACATCCAAGTGCAATTCTGTACAATATGAACCCCATGAACGACCTTGGAGGAAATATGCAGAAATGGTTATAAAAACGGAAGCATGCTTTAAGTCTAGGAAATAGAAGGAGAGTGATAAAGAGGCTCAGTTTCCCTCCATCATAATTTGTTGGGGTATAGGAGACAGGGAAAGAAAAACACAATCAGGCTTTCAAATTTGATGCCAGCACTCTTAAGGTAGGCCAGGTGATGAAACAAACTCCACAAGCTTAAGTGAAACAATATTGATCTAGTTCCTGTGTCAGAATTTTGAAAAATCATCTCTATGGCTTTCTACAAGTTCATGGGAGATAGATAAGGAAGATCTATGGCGGGAGGGAGACTTCTGTGTGCAATACAGCAGTTTTGCTAGAGTACCTTGGTTGACATGGTAGAATGCAACGGGCAGAGGCCACACAAGTTCAGCCTTCCTTCTGTTCCCTGAACAAGGATATCATTCCATCTTCTCTCTCCTTAGAAACCATCTTGTCTCCTAGCCAAATTGCTAGGATTTGCTGAGATGCTGTTGCTGCTGCTTCTCAGCTTTGCACTCTATCACAGAAGCAGCCAGCCTTCTGTCTTCTGTGATAGCAGCCATGCAACACAAAGTCCTAAGCAGTACCAATCTCACTTCATCCACCCTGCTCCTCCCTATCTTTGCCTGTGATGTGCAGAGAAACACCACTGGATATACAAACACAGCAGGCTTCAAGCAGAGTAGAAATCCCAAATAGGTTGTGTGAGGGCAGCTAATGTGGCTGATGGTCAGGCAAGTGACCTATACATGAAGACATATCCAAAGCAAGAGAGCATGGACACAGTAAATGTTGAAGTTGCCCTTGGCAGCATATTCTGACAGTGATTTGTATTGGGTGCACAAGCCCGGTTTGCAATGCACAGCATAATTGTTGCCAGCCTCTGCTCTAGTTCTGACTGGACAAGACAAAAGCTGGCTGTCTAGACAGAGAGCGTGATGGCTCTCAAATTTGCTCGTGACTCCACTTGAAAAAACTGTCTTTAGACCAATTAAATGAGCTTATGGGAAATTCAATAGCAAAACAATATTTTATGGTAAGTTACAATTACTTGATACTTGCTGTTCAGTTTAGTAATGCTCATTAATCTAACAGGCTTTTAAAAATAAATACATTTATAAATGTAGGCAATCTTTGGCTGCATGCTGTTTTCAAATCACAAACATCTCCCTAAAGTTTTCCTGCTTTTTGTCTTTCTGGTGGCTTTCTCTAAGCCAGGTGTCTCTAATGGTGGAAAACAGCTACAATTTTGAAATCATGACATGAACTATCATGATAGTAGTAGTTACATGGATTTGCCAGAAATCAAAATGGCAGTCCCTTTCCACCAGTCCCTTTAGCTTCTTATGATGTGATTGCTTAGCATAACTATTTTTTCACTTCAAACTAGGCATCCATCTTTCAAACCAGCTGCTTGGTTATAGCTCCCCCACTTAATTTTATCAGAATGCTTTTGGGTGTTCCCATCTTCGGGCTACTGTTTTGCAACTTGATTGTTTTCTATATACATTTTTAATTGAAAAGAACTTTTTTTGGGAGGGGGGAAGATAGGTCAGGAAGCCTGGTAAGCATCTAAGTTGCGGATGGATCTATAGCAGGGGTGTCAAACTCAATTTTATTGAGGGCCGCATCAGCATTGCGGTTGTCCTCGGGGCCGGGTAGGTGTGGCCAGGGTGGGCCTGGTCTACTGGGTGGGCGTGGCTGGAGTGGGTGTAGCCTACTGGGTGGGCATGGCCAGCTCTACATCGTTTGCGTCAAGGGTGCCTGTGGGGGCCTGGGCAGGAGCGGGACAGATCTGAGAGTCTCTGGCAGAAGGTGGTGGGACCGGGGCAAGTGCCAAGGCATGGTCCACTGGAAGAGCCTCACTGTTCCTCTCAGGCCATGCGGGGGGGGAGCTGGATGGTGCTGCGGGCTTCCCGGAGCCCTGGGCAGCAGAGGTCAAACGCCCAGCCTGGCCCTCGAGCACCCATGGCACCAAGCCCAGCCCCACTACCCCAAGGGGGTGCCCAGCTGCACTTACCTCCTCCTCAAGGCTGCTGCTGCTGTGTTTGCTCTCCTTACCCAGGTTGCTCATGATGGGTACGAGGGCAAAGTCAAAGGGAGGCCCACTCCATCTCCATGGGAGGAGACCCGGCTTTGTATCCAAAGCTCCTTAGCAATAGGATGGGAGACCCCCAGGAGAGGCCAAGAGGAGAAGGCAAGGGGATGGTGAAAGGGCAGCAGGGCAGGACTAAGGCAAGACTTCCCTCAGACCCTCCCTCTCCTTCCTTCCTTCCTTCCTTCCTTCAACAGAGTGGTGGGAAAATATTTGAGATGAGGGAGGGAGAAAAACAGGCAAGAAATGCAGCTGGGGAGGTGTCACCCTTTGTGAGGAATGAAGAAATGCACCATTGCCTGGAAGTGGCCAGCTCATGGCCCTCGCCTACTTCACATATACTTGGTAGGCTTTGGGGGAGGGGACGCCATGAGCAACGTGAGTCGACGTTACCTGCGCAATGCCGTCCTGCCCCCAGCTTGCCTGGTTTTTGCAGGCAGCGAGGCTCTCTCCTCATAGTGCTGAGGCTGAGCCAGGCAGCGCGAATCCGAAAAGCGCGGTGCCACCCAGCCCCCAGCCTGCCTGGTTTCGGCAGGCAGTGGGGCGCTCTCTTCACAGCGCCGAGAGGCTGAGCCGGGCAGTGTGAAGCTCGCCAGCTTTGCACCTTGCTGCCTGCCGAAATCAGGCAGGCTAGGGGCTGAGCAGCGGCATGCTTCTTTTGGAATTCGCGCTGCCTGGCTCAGCCTCAGCACTATGAGGAGAGAGCCTCGCTGCCTGCTGAAACCCTTCCCCCGGAGCCCATCAAGCAGGATATGTGAAGTAAGTGAGGGCCATTTGCTGGCCACTTCCAGGCGATGGTGCATTTCTTCATTCCTCACAAAGGGTGACACCTCCCCAGCATGCACCCAGGGGGCAGGGCCAACGTGGCAGGGGCCGGTCCCTTGCTGTTTCCAGACGGCCTTGTGGAGCTAAGACTGAATGCATTTCAGCATAGTTGGCCACCACAAAATTGTACATTGGCTCGCGGGCGGCCTAGGCTGGGGCCAAGGCAGCGGGGGCCATTCCCTCACTGTTTCCAGGATGGCTTCGCGGGCCACATGAAACCACATTGCGGGCCGCAATGTGTTTGACATGTCTGTTCTACAGGAATGTAGAGTGCCATACTGGGAGTTGAGATCACAGGTATTTAAGAAAATAAGTTTTCAGACTTACCCAAACTTTGCTGATTTTCCAAGATGTTAAGAAACAGAATGCAAGATCAGTTATACCAGTGGTTTTCAAACTTTTTTACAAGAGCCTATTAAAATAATTAACTGGAAGCCCTGTTGCCCATCTCTCAACACCACAAGCACGATTGCTCCCTAGAGAAAGGTTTCTGAATATTCCGATATGCTCTCTCCTTCTCACAGTATCCTAGAAAAATTGTTATGGATGCCCTTTTGTTCAAGTGAACATTTTTGCCCTTTGTCTCTCACAGAATCCCATCATGTTCCCCTGGAAACTTCTCTTGAACAGTCAGAAAAACCCTGGTCTGGACTACATTATGCAAATACCATTAAGATTAAAAGCAAATGTATTATTTATATAAAGTTACTTGACAACTTAAGACCCCCCAAATACTAATTATTGATGCTTTATATTAAATACATCAAAATTGTAACTTCTATCCCTAATTTACCATATAATTTACCATATCATACAATAATAGGGTTTTTTGCTGTGCCTTCAAATCAGTGTTGATGTCTGGCAACTGCCTATATAAGTCCCTGCAAAATTGGAAAGATTTCAGAAGTGGGTTCCCATTTTCCTAAGTTGAGTGAGGGATTGGCCCAAAGTCACCCAAATGATTTTGTGCCTAACAGAACTAGAGCTCAGTCTAGATTCTAGTCTGGTGCCTTAACTACTACTGTGTATCAACATGGCTCTCTGTAGTGGCTTTTAATGATCCATAATGCTTTTTATACTATAATATTTACATTTATACTATATATTTATACTGTAATGGTTATAATTTACTATTCATGACAAGGCTATAATAGGCTACATTTATAGACTAGCCTTACATGCAGAGGAATACACAAGTTTCAAGATGTGTATCCTCTGCAAGATGTGTAAGACATTGTAATTGCAGTATATAGACAACTTGACTACTGTCACATTGAAGCATAAGTCAGTTTGACAGGTAGATTCAAACTATCTTGAGATAATCTTTTTCCTACAATTTTTTATTAAACTGAATAGGAAGTTTACTGTGATACAAGTTATTCTAGGTAACCAGTCCAAATATGATACAGGCTTAAAGAACCTCAGGTTTAGAAATTCAATTTTCAATAGAAGAGGACTTGCAGAAATGTATGAAAGAAAGAGAGGTGCAACTAAGGATTTCAGATACGGAATATTTTCAATACTTGTATTTGTTATTGTTTTTACTTCCTCTTTCTGTCCAGAGAGTAGACTGCATCACTTTCATCATGTAAGAACATCAATGCAAGATCCATCATTTGTTCCAACTTATTCAGTATATTAAATATTTTTTTAAAAAAAGATTTTATAAAGATCTCTGCAGAAAATGGCAGTGAAGAAAAATCCAATGCTGAATAAATAAATGCAGCAGTATCAAATAAATTACATTATTAAAAATTTTATTTGGGTTTGGTCAGTACAGGTAAGATAATATTGGAGTCACAGAGCAATATGCATTAACAGGATACAACAGTTCTTAAAACTGAGTAACTATGCACACAAAATTCTTAAACATTCTGTCACCTAAAGAGAACACACAGATGCATAGTGGCAAAAGTGGAACACAAACTACTATAGGACTCCCTCACCAAGTTTATTTTAATTAGAAAACTACTGTACTGGGCAAACTTGGCAGTCATTAACCCACAACTATTATGACAAAGTTTTGAGTGTTATAAACAGTATGAGTAAAGAATGCCCTTACACAGCACAAGTTCTAGATATACACAGATTTGTACAGACATCATTGTGTTATACCTGGAAATAAAATTCCATTTTCAACTTCACATTAACTCAAAATATACCTTGAGCTTACACAAACATCCTTTTAGCAACATTCAACGTAATCAATTGTTAAAATTTCAGAAGTGGCAGAGGTATTGAAGCAGAAAACCACAAAGGCAGAATTGTGACATATATGCACTAATTTGAACAGTTCTGGACAGTTTCTCCTCCCAATTAAGTGACACTATAAAAAAAATTTTTTTTTTGCAGAAAAAGGTTACAAAACCGAACCCTGCACATTTACGTTGGAGTCCAAACCATTCTGAATATGACGAGACCCCGAAGTTCTGTTACCTTTCACACTGACTGTTTTCTCCTCTTGTGGATCATGATTAGAGTCTGTATCATTTGAATGGTGAGTAAGAGAATTTTCACTACCAGTGGGAGAGTCTACACTTTCGTACCCAGTACTGAGTTGATTTATATAACTACCAGATCCTCTGCCAGTTCTATCTTCAGAGTGGTTGGAAAGCTTATTACCATTGCTTGGTGAGGGTGGAAAATCATCCTCTGTTCCACTACCTTCTCTATAAAAACCAGGCCCAGCTGTCCTCTGATGGGAAGAGCTGCCATTACTTGGTCCATTGGCCAGGCGGCTGCAATCTTTGCTCATGGTTTCTCCCTGATCTGTAATTTCACAAGATGGAGTCCGGCTGGTACCTGGAGTTGAAACTTGTAACTGCTGCTGCTGATACTGAACCAGTTGTTGGCGAGTCTCTTTCAACTGCTGCTGTAGAACTAGAATGGTACTCTGCATACCTTCTACTTCCTCATCAAGCTGGATGATGAAATCATTCAGTTCTATATGAAGAAAAACAATTTAAAGCATATACTTAATAAGTAGTACCTGTCTCTTCAAACCCAGCTTCACTAACACGCTCAGTTTCATATATTAATAGCTTACTTGATCTTAAACATATTTCATCATAGCCCTCTAAAAAAAAAATTCATGTAAATTTAGAATCTATTTTCTGTGCCTGCACACACGCACCTGTGAGCAACACAAAGTTCCAACAGAATATTTTTTAAATGTAAATTTTAATCCCGATTTTAATTTCCATCATAATCCTTTGTTTTGTTTAAACCTTTGGTAAAGCTTGTAAACAGATTTTTGCAATTATGCCTAAATTCAGCATAGTGGAAATACATGAAAAATACACTTGTGAAAAAATCAACAGATATGCAAAAGTCCCAGTGGTGAATCTGTTTATCTAAATGGCTACATATATCTTGCTGCTTCCAATTACTTTGAGTTAAGCAATGCATCTTTTCTGTCCAAAACTGATCTACAAATCCTAAAATAAAAACTAGCACTGAACTCAAAATAATATATGCACTGATAATGTTCATAAATAAAATTTGCTTACTGGTATTAGCAAGACATTTTCTACCTTTCTGCAAAAAACGTTACGTCTATGTTTTTTATTTTATAAATTCTAGGCTACCTATCGGCCATCTCCTACACAGTTCCCTCCATTTGTATAGCTTCGTATTATGTTTGCATTATGATTTTGTTCAATGGAAAAGAAAACTTTTGCAGGACAGAACCATCCAATTTAAAATTAAACTTACTGTAATTAATTATGTGAAAAATTCATATGCTTAATTCTCACCGTTACCTTTTAGTTGTGCTGGTAACTACAACAGGTTTGATGAGTTTGAAATCCCTTTTAGAACATTTAAATGTGCTCCATAGTAAAAAAAAGTATAACACCCACATAGTTTGACTTTTGAAGCCTACGCAAATACAATGCAATTCTCTATTTTCTTTTTTAAAATCCCTTACCATCCTGACTGCTTTTAAGCTCCTCACTATATTTCTTCTGTAAAGCCAACTCTGCCTCAAGTTGTGCAATACGTCCTTGGGACAGTTGCCTTCCAAGCTCTTGATTCTCCTGGATAAGCATTCGACACTTCGCCATTAACTTTTTGCCTGTTTGGCTGTAAAGGAAAGAGCCATCTATCATAAAATGAAGACAATTTTCTTTCATCTCCCTTGATAAAAGCTGCCACTGGGAGCACTATTTCTGTAACACATCTTTTTTAAAGTATCTTGCTGCCAGTTGCCATTGAACATTGTTTATTGGTCTTCTGGCCCCACGTGGTCAAGCTGAAAGGCAAGATTCTATAGTTTAATAAACTATAATTATGATCAAAAGGTATTTATTGCTTTTATCTTCTGACTGGACAATTTCAATAGAAACTGGACTCGGTAATAAAGCATGGGCAGAAATGATGAAAACGGCAACATCCAATTTTTGGTTTCTAGGAATAGAAAAACACAAATGATTTACATAATGAAGAGCTTAGTCATGTCTGTAAGCCTTAACTCCGTATCTTCAAACTTATACAAATTTGAAATCACCCCCTCAAAAAGTTTGAAAATTATTTCATGTCTCTCCTATTGGTCTCATGCCAGGTATTTTGCTCTAGTCTCAAGCGATTACAAGCAGTGTTTCTGGCAAAGTAAAGCTCTTCTGCACCTCCCTTTTATATACACTGAGCCACTCTAAGTAGCCTATGCTAGCAGAAGCACCACCACCTACCTATAAGGCTGTCAGCTATCTAGGAATAGACAGTCACACTGCCATAGACAAATATCAGAGCAATATGAAAGTTATAATAAACTTTGTAAATGCATAAGTAATCACTGCCAATAGTATAAAAGTTAACTGCTGCTCCTAGATCAATTTAGTTACTTGCTTTACTTATAATTCATTGCTTGCTCTTTTTAGCCAGGAAATCCATTCCTACAAATCTCCAGCTTCTGCCTAAAACATCTAAGAGGAATGAAGTTTTCAGAGCTTAACATTTTATATAATCAGGAATTTATTTCTAATGTTTGAAATCTTTCTTGGATTATCATTTGAACTTGTTGGCTCAAGCCTAAACCTCTAGAGTAACTGAAAATGTGACCTATATAAAAGTTCTTCAAATATGGGAAAACAACATATCACATTTCAAATTGCCCTTTTAGGCTAAAAGCTTTTACCTCAGGGAACTTTGGTATCACTTATCAATTTTATCATTCCTTGTATATACATATATATATATATCTGTCAACATCCTTCTTGAATTGTAGTATTGAACTTAGAACTATTTTCTATTTGATAAACTATTTTATAGTTTATTACATATGTTAAAAACTATATAATGGAATGACAACTTAGTAATAAAGCATCAATCCTTGGCAAAATTATTTTAGATTTAAACTAATTTTAAAATCTGAGCTGGGTAAACCAATGGTATGATTTAATATAAACCCTTTTAAAAATTCTTAAGTTATGATCTGGCCAAAAGCACCAATAGAAAGCAAAATGACTATCCTAAAAGCTTAATAATGCAAGAAAGCACCTTTTCAACATAATAAGCACATTAAACTATTGGAAGATAACTTACACATATCATTTTGAAAGAGAAACATGGCTTAATAGACCACCAAAACTAAAATCCCAATTTAGGTTTTTTTCTATTAGGAAATTATCATTTGCAACGTCATGCCTATTTTCTGAGCTCAGCAAATATATTTGAAGTTTTGATCACATAATCTAAGTAAGCTAATTTCAGCATTCTTCCAGTGGATTTTTTTTTTTTAACAAATCTAGTAAGTACTTGTTTCAAAATTGTAAGTCAATGCAGAATTATTAAATTATCCCATTTTTTATCTGGTTGGAAAAAAAACTGACACCTTCAACAGTACTTTCTAGTAGAGTGACACAAAGATATATACAAAGTAGCTTCCTACATAAATTATTTTTCTACAGGAAAACTGTAAATATAGCATAATGTCCCAACAGTGCATATATTGTACGTGCATGGTATCCTGGCCTCCAAAAATATGTGTATTACATATTTCAGGATATCTAGCTTTTTTTTGTTTCTCATAAACAACTTGAAGTGGACCCAAAATTTGGCTAATAGCCAAAAAGCTGTTTTAGATATGCCAACATTTTGAATATGCCTCAGATTTTTTTTAATAGCAACCTTCATTGAATATTAAACACTCTTCAAAAAGCAGCATTTTATGAAGGTTAATAGACTTCCGTTCATGGGAAAAAGACATACCAACCCTAAATTTTTGGAATTAAGTGGATGATTTTTTTGGATCCTCTGATCTTTGCCCTTAAGAAATTTGGCTACTATAGAATAGATTTACCACTAACAAAATACATAAATGCCAAATTTTTAGAATTTAAGGAACATTTAAAAGTTTTTTTTATACCTTAGGGCAAACATTCTAAGTCTTGTAATTTGAACTAGATTTTATGTATATTAACTTATATAAGTTAATTTATAAGTGGTTGAGATAAGCAAAAACACATTAATGTAGGCAATACAATTTCACGTTGTCCAAAGCATTTGGAGGATGTCAAGAAAGACTATCTTAAAATTTCAAAAACCAAATACAATTTCGAACTATTATTGTTATCTAATGAAACACCAATATTGTATCTTATTCCTATTCACGTTCATACTATGAAGAATGATTTTCTCTTGCTGCAGTTCAAAGGCCTGTAAACAAGGGCAATGCAATACAATTCTTAAAACACTGTTGAAAAAAGGTAAGATTTTGAGCACAAACTTGCAAAGACATAGGATCCACAAAAATTATACGCAGATACAAGAATATTCTTTCCTTAGCACTTCAGAATCACTTTCACAGTGTAGAAAAGTACACTACCATTTTGAAGCATAAGATCAGAAATAAATTATGGCAGAACACAGAAGACAAACAACTTAAGGAAAATATTTCAAAAACAATAAATTAACACATCTCTTGAACCAAATGCTTTCAAACTGGAAGTCTGAGTTTTTTGTGTCTCTAAAATATCCTAAAAATTTGTTTCTATCTCTCATATAGGGTAGCTAGGGGTATTAAGTATTGCAGTTCAAAGCATCTAGAGGCCATCAGTTTAAGAAACAAATTTCATAGAAACAATAAAGGAAAATAAGTATAACTACTTGAGTACTTAAAAGTACCAATTTTACACTTATCTTAATTAATCTATTAATTTGATTATGTGCATATCAAAGATTCAATTAAGACTACAACTTAGTCATTTTCTGAAACCATTTTTTAAATGGCAGGGGTCTATTTTGAGTGCAAACAAAATAAATGCACCTTAAAATGAACTGGATATATAGAAACTGAACACTACACTGTCTTTCCTTCTAAATATTATCTGATCAAGCTGGGAATTTACAGGCAATTTGTATGACACAAAACATACCTATGAAGAATGATTTTCTGATTATACATTCAACAAGTTTTACAAAGACAAGTGTAACATTTTAAGATACTTTTCTCTGCAGAAATCTTACCTCAGTTCTGGTGATAGACCTTTAAAAGATCTTCCATACCATCCTACCAAGATGATCTTCAAAAGCCTGAATTAGTGTGAATGTTTTTTTCCATTTTGATGAAATACCCATGATTTGTATACTATCACATTTTTAGGTTGAAATAATTTTATCACAGGTATATGCATTTCATAGAATGGTTGTTTTAGATTAATTACTGAATGTGGAATGCTGGAATTATTATATTATGTCCAGTTGAGATTTCCTATGCAATAGTCCTCAATTTTTTCAACCTACCAGAGAAGACTATACAAGTATTAAGACAAAACAAGTAATTTTAGAAGCCTTTCCGCTGTAATCCTGAGAATACTGAAATGTCCAATACAACTATTCCTAGAAATCACTTAGACGTGACATGGCGCCAGACAGTACCAATGAGTTTGAACTGATGTAAACCGATGGGATGTATGCAATAAGCTTTGACATTATCTTTCTTTCAGAGAACAGGATAAAACATGGTAGCAGCCTGTTCTCCATTCTTCTATGTTCATATTTCAGTGGAGCTTCATACAGTGGTTCAGCCAGCTGTGTCTCTCAATTACTTGACATTACCTATTTTAACGCACAGTTTAAAGAAGAGTGCAGCTTTATATGGAACTAGATATACAAATGCATCACGCTAGCTAGGCAACTGACTCTGGTATGCCTTGTATAGTTTGCGTATGTTTTCTCAGAATAATATTATATATGGCACTTTTATACTATCAAGAATAGGATAGGAATCGCAACTAGTTTTTGTTTATATATTCTAGCTGAGATTCACATGTATACAACTGTTCAACAATATAAAAATTGGTAATTAAATTGCATCTATGTTTGTACAGCACTAGATTTAGGAATTTACATTTTACCAGCCATCCACAGAATAATTTGTTAATCCAAACCATGACAAGTTTCACTGAATTCCTATAAAGCCCAAATGCTAAGCAAACCAACACTTGAGTGTGTGTATGTTCTCACAGCTGATTATCAAAAAATGTGATTTAAACAAAATTCACCTCATTTGAGTTTTGACCCAGCAGTTCAGTGAACAAGGAGAAAGTCCACAGTCTTAATGGCAAAACTGACTTAATCAGTCTCTACATCACTAGGTTTAGGATTAAGAGCGAAGCACATTCCACTTATATGTTTTACTGGAATTTGATATGATCAATTCATGATTTAAAATCTCTAGGTTCTCCTCCAATTTGTCTGTAGACATAGTGTGCCACAGACTTTAGACTTCTGCTTCTCCCTCATTTTCTTCAAACAGAACCACTTTGCAAGTGTCTACATGTTCTAGAAAGTACACATTTTCTGTGGTGGCCACTTCTTCAGAACAGTCCGACGCTGTCAGGCCTCTGAAGCAAAGGGGGGGAAAAGCTGAAACACAAGGTTCATCTGATAAGTTTTACATTAAGCAATACAAGCTGGACAGAATAAAATGTAGCTTTTGGCTCAAAACGTCTGAGTCTTGGTGTGGAAACGAGTACGTGGTTGTCCCACCAAAGCATTCTCTGTCAGGGAAGTCTTGACTGGGGAGTATGTTTTGTTTACCTATCAGGTGTAAATTTCCAGGCACTCAGTTCATTTTGGGCTTGTTCCAGTTTGTCTTTAGTCTGTTCCAGTTCACCTTTCATTTTTAGGAAAAACAAGTTGATGGCTGGGTCCACCATTGTTGATCTCAGTTGAGCAACACTTGGTTGCTGGACTTGCTTGAGGTACTGTATCTGATTCTGCAGGAAGGAAAGAAATATTAAGTCAATATATACTATCATGGGTCCACACAATCTGAAAAATAACCCTTTCTTTTGTACTGATGTTAATAGAAAATAAAAATGAACTCTGAAATTATGTGACAGAATTTACATAGGGTGCTATAAACACCATAACAATTCATACAACCATTCATGTACTAGTCACAAATTTAAGAAATGGCACTGCAATACATCTCCCTTCCTGCATGTGTATGCATTATTAACGCATGCACAAAAGGGGCAGAGATTGTATAATGGCAATACTTCCATCATCTTAGTTTTTCCAACCACCAACCCTGCCACTGATAGAATTTGTGGTATGATAACTTTTATATATACTATTTGTAATTTTATAAAATCAGAGTTATAAATATTAACAGCATTTAAACAATTTTTAAACTGAGCAATTTACAATCTTTTATGAAGTTTAGTTTTTAGTGAGGGCAACATCTCATAACCTGAAAAAACTATTTCTACTCATTAAAGATTACAAATACCTGATTGGTCAATAAATCTATATCTTTGGTACTTAAGACTTTTAGAATTCTAAAAGCTAATTCTTACACACTACGAGAAAAGAAATGTAAGTTTTGATTTTAGTGAGGCAGAATTAATATCTTCATTTGTCCAGTTTTGGAACTACCCAAATAAGCTAGAGGATTGCAGGTGGTATCACTGAAAAGTTGGTGACATCAAAACGGGTCAGAGTAACTTTTTCAGCTTTTCCCGGTTTTGAGGATAGGAGTTTATGGTGAGAATAGGAAGCCTCTTCAGGAAAACTGTTCCATTTCCATTGTCAAAAATTACCCAACTCTTACCAAAACACGTGTTGCTAAAATTCAGTGGTAAAATTTCAGCAGTGAAGGTGAGGGGACACACGTCTAAGAAGTGTCCCACTCCATTTTCCACCATTATTTTTGAGAAAATACACAGACACAGAGAGAGAGACAGACAGACAGACAACAAACTGGCCATTTTGCTGCTGAATTTAAATGTTATAGTATTGAGATGCTAGAGAGCAACAATTAAGGTACAAGAGAGACACACAGACCACAATCTACCAGATGCATTAAGCAATCAGTAGGATTTTATTCTAACTAACTAAAACTATCAAGAACTTTGGCTTAAACATATGGGAGTTCAGATAATCCTATAAACAAAAGTGAGCTATATTCATCTAGTATGATAAGTAGCAACAAAAATGTGAATGCCTTACAAGCATGTACTGCATTCAAGTTTTATAAGTATCTATTGAGAAAATGGGAATGGATGCTCAACAAATACATGAAATGCAGTAGAGAGTTGCATACATGTGTGTAATATTATAATGGATCATGGATTATAATGGATTAGTGGACTGACAACAGTAATAAAATACAGCTTTGACTAGAAGGCAAACTAACAGTACGGTAAATTCTACAAGAATCATTGGCAACAAATTTTCATGCTAGTACTATCATGGAATACCAAAAGCTATTCCAGTTTTTTCTGTTAACATCTTTCACTAACTGGACAGGAAATCCTAGTGATCACCAATTAAATAAAACTATGTAAAGTGTTTCATTAAGAGGAGTGGAATTTTTATTCCTCTTACTATCACTAAGTACTGAAATGAATGACTACTATGCCTGAATCTTTCTACATTATCTCTAGATATCCATCACTTATTTGGAACATCAGTAATATTACCTAACTACAAACAGATATCCTTCTCTTTATTTTCTACTACTGGTAGGCAAGAACTACATTTATCAAAAATCCAGAGTTAGGCCTATTTTCAAGGCTGTTCCCAAAGTACATTTTAAGATTGGAAGTAGATGTGCCAAATGTTGTATAACTTGAATTTACTAGGGTTAATTTGAATTTACTATAGATCAGGCATGTCAAACTCGCGACGTCACGCAACGTATCGGAGCTTTTTTGCCATTGCTGGCAATGGGGTGGGCGCGGCTCCGGTATGATGAAACTGGCCTGTGGGCCGGCAGTTTGACACCCCTGCTATAGATCATTCAAAGTTATGATGCTGAAAAATACATTATGACCAATACCCACATTTACATCTTCCCAGTGCCCTTCAGTCAGGTTGTGGGAGAGTGGTTAGGACACAAACAAAAGTGGAGGGTGAGAAACTGATTAGTCTTGTCAGTTTTAAGCCCCCTATCCCATAGCCATTTGGGTGAGTATTCCAAAGGGCAGTGGAGTGGAGAAAAGGAAAGCATAGTGCAGTCATGTGATTTCTAGCTTTCACTGTATGCCCCAATTGTGTTTGTTACATCGACTACTTGTAGTCTCTAAATGGACAAACACACCAGAATTTTCTATCAAATTTTAGTAGTGTAGATGGAGCTGACTTCAAGGACTTTGAAACAGAGATTCAAGGCTGCACATAATCTCATTATCATCTCAAACAAAAAGAAAAAGCAAGCTTTATTTTTAGATGTATATGAACATTGCAACAGAATTGTGTAATACAAATTAGTGGTATTTATAGGTTCTCTAATGTTAGTGTTCAATATAGTGGAACTCTGTATTGAATATGTTTTGTAATCATTGTCATCTATATTAAGGGACGTTATTGAACTATGGTAGCTCACAACTCTTTGAAAAATTAGTAATATGTCAACATATTTTACATCACTATAACAGGCTTTTGATAAAAGTATAAAAATTCAAACCATGCTAACAGGAATAATTAGCACAACAAATGAACAGAATTCTGTTTAAAGTATTCAAAGCCAAATCAATAGATTTCAACAGACAGTCTCAGATGATTTAATTAATTTCACTTACAGTACACTCTTGCATTTCTTGTTCTTTAGTTGCTAGTCGCATCACCAAGATATTTTCCCTTCGAGCAGATTCTTGTTGTTGCTGCTTCAGTTTTTCTTCGGATTCTCTCAATCCAGTAACATCATTGGCTAGTGTTAAAAAGGGAAGCAATTACAAGGTTTATTACCAAAAACCTTCAAAATAGTAAGACAAAAAGATAAACAGTAAGATACAAATGGTATCTAAACAAAACAAAAACAAAATAATGTGAATCATAAATATATTCCCTTTTGGAAGGAAATATAAGAAAGATATAGCTTCTATGATAGCATAGGTAAGACCACAATAAAATTCAGCTTATGACTATTTTCTATTGGCCTTTTAACAATTCACAAAAGAACAGTAGATAATACAGTGTTTCCTCAAAAATAAGACCAGATCTTATTTGTTTTCTTTGCCTTCAAAAGAAGCATTTCTTATTTTCGGTGGGGGGGGGATCTTTTATATTCACCCAGCCGGTCCACTTCTTCTGGGGCCGAAGGAGTAGCTTCATTCTGCAGCTGCATTCCGGCCTGCATTTTGCAGTCAGCCGAGAACCTGCAAGACCTCTGCAGCCGAGAACCGAGCTATGGATTCATCCATAGCTCGGTTCTCAGCTGCAGTGGCCTTCCGGAAAGACCTGTGACTGAGAAATGCAAGCCTGGTTGCAGAAGAAGTGGGCCAGCGAGGAGAGGCCTGGCTGCAAGGTAAGTGGGTGTGGGGTGTGTGGGGCAGCTCCATCCCCCCACCTCCACTCTAGCTTGATTTTTAGGTGTGCCTCGCCCCAAAACTAGGGCTTATTTTTGGGTTAGGGCTTATATTAGGCCCACCCCCCAAAATCAAGCTAGGGCTTATTTTCAGGGAAACACGGTAGTAGTGGAATGACAGTGTATGCATGTTATATGAGTCTGTCGTAATCCTTCTTTTCAGACCTAATGTCATAAATTCACCTGCAAATTTATGATAATCTTTTACACCCTTGGGAAAAAAGCAACTACTTCCATTTTAAAGGGAGCAACAAATAAACTATACAGGGTCCTTATTGACAGTGTACTCTCTCTCACGGGTTACAACTGTAACAGGTTTCTGTTACAGATAGATCATTGTATGACAGGCGTATCCAAACTATGGCCCTGGACAATTGGCCCCACTAGATCATCAATGTTTAACATTAATATATGCATTTATATACATTAACTATATATTTCATATGTGGTCCAGGACAATTCCTTCTCACTCAGTGCGACCCAGGCAAGCCAAGAAGTTGGACATGCCTATTGTATGAAAATGTGAAGAGCTACAAACTATAATCTGCTCATTCACATCTATCAACTCTACATCAAGCACAAAAGCATCAATAATACATGCTGCCAGAATTTTCTTCTAGTTGCATTTTACTTTGAATTTTGACTAGATTCATATTAAGGAAAAGGAAGCAACTTTCTTTGGTACAAAAAATAGTAATTTGTCAAACTCTAGAGGCATTGCATGTCTATGAACACAGCTATGTCAGTCCCTAATTATTGTTTCCAGTATTAATCCCAGTGAAGCCAATGTTTTCTCCCTAGAGGGATAGTTCTGGGACAAGGATGAGTAACTTAAAATAACCTAAACTCAAATCCCAAATATATATCACAGCTTAACAATCTAATTATTCTATGAAGGTTTCTTGTTGAAAGTAGTTAAATCAGAAGTAAACAAGTTTGATTATCCAAAGGAAGAAAAACAACATAGTCCTAAAGTCTGTTGATGCTCTACAGACTGTTTAATAATTAGATTATCTTATGTATTGTTTACATATTAAGTTTGTCTGTACAAGAATAACATGTCACTGCTCTTGTCCAATAAAAACATAGAGGAGCCAAGTAGTAATATAAAAGTTGCCCTATATCAATTTAAGAATTAGAAAGTGAAATATAAATCATGCTTAATAAAAATACATGTATTACAACACATTTAAAATGTACTATCAAGCAAGCAGTGCTTTCATGGATACATTATAAGGAAATGACTATCCAAAAGGGATAATCCAAAAAAAGCTTTAACTATAAAATAATGAAATTTAAAAACGTGCTACCTTTAACACGTGGTTTAACTTTACAATTATCGCAAAACAGGTGGAAAAATCAGATCAGTTGTGTGAACTACTGTATACACATCTATCACATGTCAACTAAGAAAATATTTATGCCAATATCTGAAATTCACAAAGCCCTGCTTCAATAAATGTATTCAGAGTAACATGGTTTGGGTTTTGTTTTTTACACATACTAATGAACTGAACAATATTATAGAAAAAATATCTGGCCTAATGAATATGTCCAAGGGAAAGCGTTTCATAATTTCATATCACTAATCACTGATTCAGACATAGTGTAAAAACTTTAATGTATCATTAGAGATTCAGTACAGGTAGTCCTCGATTTATAACCAAACTGAACCAAAACATTTTTAATAAAGCAGTGCAGTCATTACGTTATGCATCATGTGATCGCACCTGATTTTGCAAACTTTTTTGACACAGTCATTAAGTGAATCACCTGTGATGGTTAAGTGAGAGACAACAAGTGACTGCAATTTGTGACCTACCTCCAGTCCCACATTGATTATGTCTGTCAGAAGCTAGCCGGAAAGATCACAAATGATCACGTGACCGGAGGATGACATGATTTATAAATGTGCAACAGTTGCCAAGCACTGCAATCACAGTAACGTGACTGCGAGGATAGTGCAATGGTTCTAAATGCAAGGACCTTTCCTAAGTCACTTTTTTCGGCAGTCACAGCTTTGAACAGCCACTAAACAAATGGTTGTTAAGCGAGAACTACCTGTATCAGTTTTATGCTAGATACTTTATCTCCTTTTCCCAGTAAGTTTTTAAAAAAATTTGCACAAATAGTTCAGATATTAGCTTCTAATCAGTGATCCTTTTAATTCTATGTGATTCTAAATTAGCTTTAGGAAAAACTATTAACCAATTACTTTGAAAGATAAAGATCAGCTAGAAACAACTTACTACAACTTGCTTCCATATATACTGATGGTATTAGTATATAATCTTCCTCAAACAGGTGATAAATATTAAGTTCCCAATTTGTGAATAAATAGGTTCAAACTTACTTAAAAATGTATAACCGTAGGAATATATTTTAGTTGCTATGCCCATATGTTGTCTAATAATTCACTTCCCAAAAACTCAATTTTTTAATTATTACTTCTATTTTTCAAAAAATATGACAGGATCTAATTATATATTCAGCTGATTTTCAACTTACAGTTTAGATCAGTGTATTTGCCCTCAAGAGCTTGCACGTATGCTTCATACTGCTTCCATCTAACGAAGAAAGAAAAACATTTCTGAATTGCATATATGATAAATAGCAGTATATGATTAAACCCACCTTACAACTTTCATTAAATACTTTTAATTACTTATCATTATAAGATATGTATACCCAAGAACACCCTAAGCAGCTACAGGAAACATACCAACAAGCCCCTATTTCAAATTGTAGTCTGCTTTTTAAAAATAATCCTTTCTTTTGGTGAATTTGCACATCATCTTTAGCCAAAAACAAACTACATAATTACCTTAATGTGTGAGCCAATGCAGAGGGCAATACTGTTTGAACAGGTTTACAGTTAACTTTAATAATTTTTATCTTTTTCAGTATTTTCATCTCTGGCTAAAATACTTATCTAAATGCCCATCATAACAATCTTTTTCAGGGGATAAGCAACATAATGGAAAATGCAGAAAAGAAGTAAGGAAAAAGGAAAATAAAGACAAAAGATAAATATCTTTTGAAAATCAAAAGATAAATATGGCCTACAACAAAATCATTTGCCTTATCTCACCATACTTTTCTATCCTTGCAAACTATATTTAATAGATTTCAATGGCTCAGTGAAATTGTTAACTGTTTTTAATCACCTATTAGGGCAGAAGATGGGGCAAAAATAATTCTATAAACCAGGGTCCCCAACCCCCAGACTGATCCGTGGTCTCTTAGGAACCGGGCTGCACAGCTGGAGGTAAGTGGCAAGCAAGCAAAACCACCACCACCCCAGTCCGTGGAAAAATTGTCTTCCACAAAACTGGTCCCTAGTGTCAAAAAGGTTGGGGCTACTGCTATAAACAACTGGGTCAAGGTCACTAAATTGAAAACTGAATTGAGATTTTTCCCATCCTTGTTTAGCCCATCCCGAATATATATTACATGCACATACTTGTACCTTTAAACTAATTTCAGATAAGCAAAGAAAAAAGGATTCCTACACCTGCATTAAATCACTTGTTTTGGCTGACTGCAATGTGCAAATCTAACCACTGTGCTTTCCAAATTATCATGCATGAGATAAATAATTATGTGTTGTTATATAAATCCAGATTAATAAAAACAATAGCCTAGTGCAAGATGTGGACCCTATATCCTTTAAATGGGTAAAGATTTGATTGAATAATCCTTTTGTCCTGGTGACTTTATAGACACTTCCACGTAGTGTTCTTTAGCAAAGTGGCTTGTCACTGCCTTCTTCCAAGTTGTCTTTTTCAAAGTCTTCATCTAGCAATAGCTCTTAGCTCTCCTGGCAGTCTTCAATTCAAATATTAATCAGGAGAATTATGAAGCACTTCAGATTTGATTTAGAAGAGATGCTTCAAAATATTCTTGTTGTTTTCAGGCCTGTACTTCAAAAGCCTCCATGCAGCAATTGTACAAACTCATAAAACACAGCTGCTTTAACACATTGCAGAACGACCCTATATTTGTGAATTCACATTTCAAAGGACCTCTTTCAAACTGAACCCTATGAACATTGATTTTTTTTTTAAGAGATAAGCCAAAAATGGCTAGGGCCACTTATGATAAAAAGAATAGGGGTTTGGATCAAACTGCAGGTAATTCTTGCTTAATGACCATTTGTTCAGTGACCATTCAAAATTATGAGTGCTGAGCAAAAGGACTAATGAGCTGTACCTGATGTTATGGTCATCACACGATTGCAATCTGGGCTCTTGGTAACCTGTTCACATTTACAACTGGTTGCCAAGCACCTCACAACCATTCGCTCGCCATTTGCAAACTTCTGTGATAGCTTCCCCAGAAAGTCAACAGGGAAGCTGGCAGGGAAAGCCATTACTGCCTGCTAAGAGAACTCCCTCTGGTTTCTGGGCGCCGGCTAAAAAAGGTCTGCCCTGAGATCCAAACAAGGTTTCAGCACAGAGAATTTGCAGCCAGACCACAGAAAACAGAGGATATCCTCATTTTGGGGAGTTGTCTGCAAACATCTTTCTCAGCCAGTCTCTTTGAGAGTGAAAGGGCTGCTCACCAAAGAGATTCAGACCCATGTGGGGAAAGTCCCTCTGGTGGGCAGCTCTTTGAGAGCAAAAGGGCTGTCTGAAAGAATTTTGACTCTGCCTGGCCAGGTTCCCCCCAGCAGGCAGCTATTTGACAGTGGGGTCACCTCCCTCCAGCAGGCAGCTCTTTCTCTCTACCCAGATGATCGCTTAATGACCACAACTGGGAGTGCTGTCTTTGAGTGAAGCAGGCACATGACATCTCGCCTAACGACCACTTCATTCAGTGATTAAAGATTCTAGTTTCAATTGTGATCATAAGTCAAGGACTACCTATAAATAATGGGATACTTACTTTTCGTCTTTCTGAAATTCTCTTTGAATCTCAGTAAATCACAAACTATAAAATTTGGTATTTTAAGCCTTTAAGTCTGGTTTAGCTTAATTAAACTTAACATTTTCATACTCAAAAATGGTTCCCTATTAGTTCTCCTTATACAATAAGCTATTGTGAAGATCCAAATTCTTCTATGTAAGATATGAGAAATGCATTTTTTGCTATTATGAGATAGATCATTATTTTACCTTAAGATCAATTCTTCTCTAGGTAGAACCTTGAAGTCTGTTTCATTGAGACGGGCCTGTACAAAAATAATTTCATTGAATTATTCCATCTAGCACTGACAAGGAAAAGTAATAGTAGAGTACATGTTTACAGATTACCTTCTTTGGAAGTGGTTCTTCATTAGTCATTGTGAACTCTGTAGAAGAAATAACACTATTATTATTTTACCCTCTTACAAATGTAACTAAATCTGCATATACCTTAAAGTACAAAAGTTCCAATCAGTTTGAGTATATGTAGTACATTTTTATAATAGCTTTGGAAAATAGTAAAAACTTTAATTTCAACAATTTACGTACAGCCATTGTAACTTGAGAAATGTATCAGTTAAGCTCTATTGAGCTCTATATTGTAAAAATATGTTTCTCATTTTGTGGATAATTAAGACTTTTATTTTCAACAATAATGAACATTTAAATCATTTTTGAGAATGCATGAATATACATGAAAGCTCACTACTGTTTGTATAATACAGATTCATTCACTCCCAGTGCTGACTTTTTCTTTTGCATTAAAGTTTTGCTGGTCACTTGATCCTGTGTGGCTGGAGTTTGTCGGCAGCAGGCAGAGGACACTTGACAGTTACAGATAACTCTGTCCTATTAGATTTATGGTTTTTGCCATTTCAGGAAGTAATCAACCCAGGATCATATTTATTGACTTTCAAATATTAATATTTTTCTGCACCACACAGGCAATTCAATAGTAAAAACGAACATTTTTCACAACTAGTAGAAAGCTGTCTGTATTGTTTATAAGATGGGCAAATATATAAATGTTTTAAATAAATATATACTAGAGAAAATATTTTGCTCAAAGTTTTAGAACATTGATAGTTGTAATGATCAGCATCAGACCAGAACTCTGAAACCTTAGTTTTACCAGATGGGGCAGTCACTATTTTTCAGGTTGATCTATTTCACAGGACTGTTGCAAAGATGAAAGAATGGCAACAAGCATGCAGCAACTAACAATTCTGTTGTTTTATATAATGCCATATAAATTCAATCTGAGAACTCTATAAATAATGCTTTACTTAAATTATCAGCAAAGAGGAAATAATTTTTAGAAATGGCAAAAAACTAAAACACCCCTAAGCACAATTTTATATACGGAACCCAATGGAACTTACTCCTAAGTAGAAATACAACCTTCTAAGAAAGCAGTTGTATGATAAGTCTCAATTCCTCAATAGATCAATGTAGGGGTTTTTTTGGCAACACTACAGAACTGGCTTACTTTCTCACAGGATGTTTTGACTTCCCAGTCTACCCTCAGCCCTGACTGTAATTTTCCATCCAATTACTGAGTTCTGACTATTTTTAAGGATCAGCCATAGCTGATTCTTAAGGATCAGCCACAGCTGCTTTTTTTTTAACAGTACCATAAAATTTGATCAACCCATACTTTCCATAATTTGTTTCAAATTACAACTACTTTGTGTAACTGTTTATATTCAGTAGTTTATTGAATTTTTCTTTTTTCTATTGAAAATAAACATCTATTTTCATATCAGATGACTTCTAATTCTATAATAATTGTCTTCTCTTTGCATGCTAAGATGTATTTAGAACAGATTTAGGCACTTTAGAAATTGAGATATTGTTCTGCATACTGCATTCATCTCTTATGTACAACCCTAAAATGTAAGAACATGATCTGACATCAAAGTTGTATCTATAACAGCCTCAAAAATGCAAGATTTCTCAAGTATAATAGAAATTAAATGTTTTGTTAGACATTATGCTATAGTAAACTCTGCCAAATTAATACTTAATAGAACAGAGCAAGCCAATTTCAATTTAAGATGAAATGTTTTTCTCAACCTCTTTATTGAAATTAAATTAACTAAGTCAATTTTTACTTATTTCAGAAAAGTGAGTGAATTTTAAGCAGCATGTTATTTCCAAGTATATCACTACCAACTACAATTTTTTAGTGAAAAATATTTTTTCTTTCCTCATAATCACTGGACTGAAATAGATATAATAGCAACTATGGTTAAAAAACTTATCAATATGAACTGTTGTACAAATATCTCGCATCATATAAACGTGGCTATATAATCTGAAAAAAATGCAATCTTGCTATTAATATATTGATTTTGTACTCTGGGCAGAGGCACCACCAATATATTAACTCTGTAATGAACAGCTTGGTCAATACAATAACTATCTTTCTACATTATGGGGCATGCAACTAATTTTTACATGGGCAGCTTATTCATAGCCAACTGGACCACCACTGCATGTAACATATTCATTGCAATCTAGCACATCAATGATAGTAATTCTTTCTAAGCAACCTGTAGAATGAACAAATGTGTCTGATCTATGTACATATTCCAGTCTTTCCCAACTTGGGTCTTCTGCAAGTGTACTAGTCTACAATTCCTATTTCTACCAATTACAGGATATGCTGAAACAGATTATTTATAATTTAACATAGGAAGAGGAAATCATTTTGAAGAATCATATGCTATGTGGAAAATAACCAATCACATCTTAAGCTTTATACAACTTTTGTCTGCACAGTGGCAAAACTGCCAAGTAAAATAACAATAGTTCATTCAGCAAAGCATGTAAAAATAATAAAATCTATAGTCAGTTTAAGGTTTTACGGGTAAACTAAACTAGGTTTTCCTCCAGAATCCCTATTAACTTCCTAATAAAATATAGAAACATAACCTATTTTTATTGAAAAGAATTGTTAAGGCATAAAACATCGACAAACTTCTTTTTCAGTATTTTGTAAAATACTGACAAATTTCATTTTTTTCTGCAACCTAAGGAGCTCTTAAAAACATAAGCATGTATAATGCACCGTCCAATTCAACCCACTTACTCAGAATACTTCGACACTCCCATAAATTATCAGACTTTATAATTTTTAGACGGACACGCAGAAACGTGCATTTACATTTTATACTTCAAGCTTCTCAGACAATAATTAAAAAAAAACAAAACCGCTCGTTTCGAACTGTTCTGGCAAGCGAAGAATACACTGCTTTTAGACCCTCCTCGACTTATGGCCGTCTCTTAGGTAAACAAATCGGGTTCTTCCCGAAAATCAAGGCGGCCTGTCTAAAACGGGCCTTCGGGAGGATCGCAGCAAACGCGGGCGGAGGCGGGCGGGCGACAAGCACGAAGATGCTACAGGCGTGGCGACGTCGGACCCCACGAAGGGCTGCCGCAAGGGGCGTGGGGCCCGATGCCCGCTGCACACTAGACGGCCTTCGAAATATCTTCTTCGTCGTTCTTTCCGGCGCGGAGCTGCGGTCTTTCGTTAAGGCTGGAGTTGGCGGCGGCTCGCGCGGGAAGAGGAGTAGGCCACCACTCACCTCCCGCCGATGATGGCGGCGCCGCAAAGGCGTCGTGTCCAGAGCACTCCAGGTATTTCCAAGGAAGGTCTCTCCTGTCGCATCAATCAAACTAGAACCACCGCCCTGAAACGGTCACCATCACCGCCGCCGCCACATTCCGCTTCCCGCCCGCTCTTTATTCGCTGGTTCGCTGCGCTACAAAATGGCGCCCGAGAAGGAAATGAGAAAAGCCGCCTCGCCCCTTCGTCGACTCCCGCCTCGCTCCCAGCCAGAAGGCAGCGCCACCGCAGCGCGGAGCCAACCGCTGCCACTCAATTCCCCGGCCCCTCCCCCACGCGACTGCCACCCCCCCCCCGCGCGCCCCCTCGCTCCCACCCGCGCGCCTCCTCCTCACTTACCGGCCCAGCCAGCAACTGACTCCGCAGCAGGCGCTGCGGCGCTCACTCAGCGTCGGGACTACACTTCTCCGCTGCTTCTTTCACCCCCCCTCCCACCGCCGCGCGCGGACGGTGCTTCCTTCTTTTGCTTTCTATGGCGACGAACAGCCGTTGAGCGGGAAAAGGGACAGAATAATTAATATTTTCGGGGGGGGGGAGGGAGGGGGTAAGGAGATGCCAAATGGTCAAGTCGGTCTACTCCTCTGTCTGTCAGGATGCGCAGTTGCAAAGCATGATGGGTAGGTAGGGGGTCGGCGGAAGGATTCGAAATCATACTATATAACCACCTGCAAGAGTGAGGCTGCTTTGGCGGAAGGAGACTTCACACGGAAATAAAAAAGAAAGAGCGTCGAATCTTCATTTCTGTTTTTCGAGTTGCATGTGGATTTTGCAAAGTGATTCAGGGATTGCGGTTCGACTCTCCTAGGCCCAGTTTAATATTGCGCAGAATGCAGAACTATCTAAAACAGTTATCTGAAATTGGTGTAAAGCTTGCTTTTCCCTGCGTAGGAGTGACCCTTTCTCAAGATTTTCGATTTGTTTGTAATTGAGAATTCTGCGTGTTTTTGTAGAAAACTATTAGTGAAGTGTTTCAGAAATGATCAATTTGTTTGTACGAGTCATTACTAACAAAATATTTTTCTACAGGATATGGTGGCCGGTACCGCATAAGTAGTTTGAGTAACGTGGAAGAACTGAGATTAACTGGATTTATTTACGCTAAAACATACTGGTAAATCGTGTTTCTGAAACACCGACAGCTGGGTTCGCACAACGTAGTAAGCCAAGGGATTTTGACAGGCGAGCTTTGACGGGAGGGGTGGTAAACAACTTGTAGAAGGGGTCGTAATATATTTTTTTTTAAGCTGATGAGGTTGAGTAAGCAAAGCAGCGGTGCTTTTAAAGTTTCTGTTTTTCTGGAGAAGCCTGCAGCACCGCTAGGGGACAGCAAAGGTTGAGACTTTTTATAATTCTACATACTCGTTTTATTATTCCAGGTGACCATACAGCAAAATATAAGAAGCCCCTTGCAGTGTACTGTATAACTCACATTATTAGTTATTTTTGCAATTTTAATTTTTATTTAATATATAAAATACAAAGAAAAATAGAAATAGGAAATTAAGGAGGGAAAAGGAGAGGGGAAGAGAAGGTGTGAGGTACAAGGGGGGAAAAAGATGTTGACTTCCAACTCTTTACTACAGTACAAAATAAAAACACTCCAGCCTCAACTTTTTGTTTTTACACATTAATATATAACTAGCCATTTCTATAATGACAAATCTATCTAATCAACAAAACCAAAGTCAAAGTTTCATGTGTTTTTTTCATCACAAGCACAAAATCCAGAAGTGATATCTAAATGAAAAACATACTCAAATATATTCTCCTCTTTGAATAGAATGATCAATTTAACCATTCCTGATTTATCTTCCTTGCTATGGAAATAGTGTTGAAGGAAAAGTCTTCCTCATGATTCAGTCCAAGCCAGGAATAAACAACATGGCGACTGCTTTAGAAAGAAGGTTGCAGTTTACTGAAGAGGAGAGCCAGACAGGAATATGGCTCTGGAAGAAAAGAGAGTGAGAGCATGTAGGGAGTGGGTTTTTATACTTTCTTGAGCCTTTTGTTTGGAGTTGTTCCTGTGGCATGAACTTTGACCTGAGTCTGAGTGTGCCTTTCTGGTATTCTGATGGTGGTGGGTTAATCCTATTATGTCCCAAGGGTCATATCTGACTTCCCACAAATCCCCTCTTTGTGCCATAATAGTATGGGTGACACATTTTTACTGGCACAAGATTAAAATTGATCTGATCAGGGAGACTTGGTAAACAAGCTTTAAACTGTTAATGCAAAAAAGGGGGGGAGACACTAATGGAGGCAAGCAGAAAAAGATCGCTGCAGTGACTCCCAAAAGGGGAGCTTCCAACCCATAAAGTTCTAAAAGTCAGGGCAAAAATTTTGTTAGGTGGAAAAGAAATTTATAGTGTCCAATATTCTGTGCCAATCATTTTCAAATGTTGGATGTCACTTTGAGCTTCCAGTCAGGTTTGCATATTCCTCCCAAAATTCTTCACAGCCATGGTTTGCCTCAGTACATAGCCACTGGCTGCCCATTTTCAAGGATTGTTTCCTGCCTTAGCTCTTAGTTCAGTGGATCCAGGTTTGTAATGTCCAATTGAGGTTAGCCAGTATGCAAGCCAGGCTATTAAATTTTCTTAAATTGCACATAGTGAGCCCTAGGACTCCCAATCTGAGTCCACCAGTGCAAGATATTCAATGCTTAGGTTTGGAGATCTCTTTCCTGCTACTTCCCTAGTCAGGGCATATGAATTGCAAATCACCTGAGGGGGTCTGGTTGCTCCCCCTTGGAATTTTCTGGAAGTTGTTCCTACAAAGTTTTAATGACACAGGGCAAGAATCAGGCTGGTGCTTTACTGAAAGTAGGTGAAGGGGAAAGACTCAGTGTGATTATGAATGGTGTGTGTGTGTGTGTGTGTGTAGCTACTAATACAAACAGGCAATACAAACATTCTGGATAAATTTTCCTCCCACCAGACAGAAATCCAAGGTGTTCGGTACTTGCTGTGCCAACTATTCCCAAATGCCATCATTCCATAAATACATTCAACTGCTTAATTACAACACAAAATGGGGCAACAAAGAAAACCTTACAATGAGTTTCCACCCTCCCCCCATAGTCTTCCTAGTTTTCTTCTGAGGCTTCACGTGGGGACCAATGGCTCCAGGATCCCTTCCTTCCTCTGCACCTTTCACGGGCATCTTGGGGAATGGTAGGACTTGGGAAGATCTGTTCCACTCTGGTTGCATGGTGGCTTTTTACTGGATGGCTGGATTCAAACCCAAATCCATGGCTCAAATGGATGGGTCAGTGTGCTCTGCTTCCAAAGGTTGGGGTCATCTGTATAGGGCTGAAAGACATGAGAGCAAGATCTCCTCCCCCCTTTCTGGGTGGATTCTCCCAGGAGAGGCAGGCAAAGGCATGGTGAACAGAGGATAAGAAAAGGAGAAGTAGATGGGGGGCGGGAGCTTGCAGGCAGAGTTTGAAAAGGCATTAATACTGCAGTTGTTAAACAGATAGGCAGACAAAATGAGGACATCACAGATGAGGACAAAAGAAATACTGGGTTCTGGTAAAAGAACATACATGAAAGGTTTCACTTCTGAACTTGAACATTTGCAACATGTTAGAGAAAACTTAAAGGACTTGCAACTTGAAAATGCTGGTCATGTTTCAGGAAAAGGATAGGCAGATAAAACCCATTTACAATACATACAGTAAATGCAAGAGTGAAATTTTTCGAGCAGATGATCTTAAAACATTCCCTCCTGCTAACTTTGGGCTGTTCTTAAAAAACGTTTTTCTTCACTCTGTTTGTTGGCCAGACAAACAGAGTGAGGGTATTTTTCTTTTGATGGCTTATTTTAAGCAGAATTTCTAGCAGAATTTTAAAATTCTTTTCTCTTTGGATTAGAAACAATTAACAATCACATTTACCTCACACACAAAGACCTTGACCATACATATACACACAAAGACAAGAGAACAGATAAGGAAACAGAACATTTAGTTATACACATCCTGGTCATTCCCACCACAAATCTCAGTTAACTCAAATTAGGGAAGGCACAAATCTTAAACATACCACATGGTTACACAGAGAGAGGGAGAGAGGATCACTATTCCTATATTTTAATTTCCTTTTAAGTATCTTTATTTAGCCAAATTGGTTTCCCAGCAAAGCCCTGAGCAAAGTCCATTTTTATAGTTTGTGTCCTAATTCTGACCCTCGAACTACAGTTACCCATGTTCCCCTTACGATGTGGGGTTCAACTGGCTTAGTCGGCTCCTAGCATCACTTCCCAGCCACTCTTAGCGACACTATCCCTGCCGCCCCGCCAACACTTTGCAGACCAAAAAGGGGCCTGGGGAGGACCTGCCGCCCTCGGCTCTGATAGGTATGCGGCCGCCTCCTACTTCACTGCCTTCAGTTTTCAGACTCAGGAGGAGTCTGGGAGGACCTGTGCTTTGTGCACTAGTATGAGCCCCTTCTACAGATGAGCTTTGCTTACAGGGATTAACCAGCTGGTTGCCCAAATCCAATTCACTCATTCTATTTCATTTTCATACAGCCTCTCCCTTTTCCCTAACAAAAGGTCCTGCACTTTGGCCAAACCCCCATGCTTTCCAGGGTCTGCCACTTGAACAGATCCTTTCTGTGGTTAGAAAAGGCCAGAGGGAGCAAAATCCAACTGTGATTGGGAAAAAGGGTCTTCTCAATCACAGAGAGACATACACACATTTCTCTCACTCCCCTGGGCTTTAAAGTTAAAATTTAGAGGTACTCACCTTCACCTTTCCAAAGCAGCCTTTGAGCTCAAACCCAAAACTCCCTTTACTACCCTGGCTCCACATGGGCAGGGCCTGGGAAACCCATCCACAGACACAAGGGGTCTGCTGCCGGCAAGATGGGGTTTACCAATCTCAGTCCATTAGAAAGGTTAGCTTGGAGTCCCATCCTGGGTGCCAAATTGTCGAAGGAAAAGTCTTCATGATTCAGTCCAAGCTGGGAATAAACAACATGGCGACTGCTTTAGAAAGAAGGTTGCTGTTTATTGAAGAGAAGAGCCAGACAGGAAGAAAGCTCTGGAAGAAAAGAGAGTGAACACATGTAGGGAGTGGGTTTTTATACCCTTTGGAGCCTTTTGTTTGGAGTTGTTCCTATAGCATGAACTTTGACCTGAGTCTGAGTGTGCCTTTCTGGTAT